TTTTTTTTTTTCGCCCTCTCGCACCGATTTTGGGGTACCCAGAGGATGTCATCCATAAAAATAAAAAAGTGTGGCCTTAGATAAATTAAAAATTGGTGGTGACTATGCTTTGTTGTCAAGCATAATGTATTATTGCATCAAAACTGTCAAAAATTTTTTTTGCATTATTGTATGTTCATTTGATAGTTTTGCTGCTTTATTGACTTCCCTTTCTACACACTGAGGTAAAAAAATAGATGCCATACTTACGACAATTTATAGCTGAAAAAATTGATAAGAAGAAATATAGTAGATAAGTACATTAATGATATACTGTATATACACATACTGGACAATAGGAGTGTCACCCCTACTGAACCAATACTTTGGGGGAGATAAATGACTGTGCAATGATGTGCTCCTGGTATCATTTTATTAACATCAAATTTCACAAAAAGACCAACAAAACAATTCCATGGTACAGCAGTTTTATACTCATTTAGTCGCATTATATGTAGATCAGGCATTATAACTTTGATTACTCTGTTTCAGGGGGTGACACTTCTATTGTCCAGTGTGGGTACAAGTAATCAATATATTTTACAACTTCTGCCACCACTTCTGACGATAAATTTATGTTAAGATACATACCAACAATTTTTTGTTCACTGCGTTTTTTAATGATCCTATAACGTGAAACGTAAGGTAATATTCATTACCACAATTATTTTCAATTTTAAAAGACATATCTTACATGCAATTAGCTTGTAGTGCTTTTTTTGCACACTGGTATGTGGGCTATAGAAAATGCACTGTGCCTGAGATTATATATAAGACATCTGAGACCTTAACTAATTTAAAAATCAGTTAAACGAGGCAGCATGTAGTCTAAATACATTTTAAGAAAAAACAAAAAATAAACACACATACAAGTTTGTCTACACTGAGGAAAAATTAGTATTAAATAATTTTGTGTTAAATGTGATATCATACTTACGACATTGTAGGTCAGTATCAGCTGAAAACGTGAAAAGATGTATTTGCAAAAGTACACGAAAATATTCACACAATCATGTGCATATTCTGCCAAAGATGTTTATATATTTTATATGTTGGTATAGATATGAATAATGAACTGTATTCTTTTGACAGTAAAATATATAACTCTGTAGACTACTGAGTATTTCTATACAGCAAATAAAATTTCCCGCTCCACTGCTTTTTTGTCGAACCCATTAGACGAACGATGATAAAAACCAACTAGTTTTACCAATTATTTTCTATTTCTGGCTATAGAAAGATAGCAGTAGAGAGGACATGTTTGCAAATCAAATGTATATTTGATGTAATACTTACGACATGTCGGCATTTCTAGAGGAAAAAGAAAGGCAATATTAAATACAATGGAGTACCACTTGAATATATAATCATTCAAACAATTATCATTTAAACATTGACATTTTCGTCATTTCAACTCCGGCGACAAATGTATGCTATCCTTTAAAAATAGAGTTAAGGTGATTCGATCAATGAAGCCATATAATAAAAGACAAAATAGTGGAATTTAATGCTGAATTACCTAAAGAAAAAGGTTTTCACGGAACCCAACTTTAACACAGATGTTCATAGATAACTATGTGAGGGAGTGGAGCAGTTAAATACGATTGGGCCCCACTTTTTTATTTTTATGGATGACAACCCCTGGGTCCCCAAAAATCGGTGCGAGAGGGCGAAAAAAAAAANTTCTGAAGTCCACCGCGTTCAATAAATAACGTCGCATCACAGGCAAAAAGAACCACCATCGTGTCGAAGGTGGCGGCATTGCATGTGGATATACTGATGTTGTTACACCCCGAGTAACTGATGCTGTATTGTAACGGTACCAGGTCGAAATCAACAAATCGAAAGCGGCTCCAGAAGGAGTAGGTTGTACCGTCACACCTGACTTGTCGAACGTCGGCTGTAAGTGTAAATATAATTTTTAAACTGGCATTTGACTTTCACATTGGCCACAATATTTTGCAATAATAATGATAATTTAAGCAGCTACCACATATATATAATTTCCGAAACTGGACTCTAAAAGTTCTTAAAAGTAAAATAATACAAATAATTAAAAATAATAATAATAATTAAAAATAAAAATAATTAAGTTTAATACTAGTATGTTAAAAGATTAATGGTATAATATACAAAAAAGACAGTAAGTAAAAAGTAGGGAAAGCATAAACTAAGCTGCGTACGTAACTTTAAGACCCCAAACGGCATGATATTACATCGTTTTTACGTACAGACACACCGTGCCTGGTGTACAGGGACACATTGTGTACAGTGGAAAATTTCTAGACAAAACTGGATAACTTTCTTGCTAGTATACTATATATATATAGACCAACCCACACTGGTGACCAACATAAGGTGGAAAAACTTAACAAGTAAAGAGAAAGTAAGTAAACCCCCTTTTACACTAGACGACGTCCTTTCTGCGTCCCGTACGTACATGTAGTACGGCCCCGTTTGAGAGTAAAAAATAAAACTTTACGTGCCAACAACTTGCAGATCAATGAGTATTGATTCTGCAACCACGGCGATGCCAGTTTCATGGTCGCACAAAGGACGCAGAAAAGACGCCGTCTAGTGTAAAGGGGGTGTATGTAAGAAAGTAAGCATTATATGATGTTGTATCAAAGTTGAAGAAAACCATGTTTTGGGCACCGATGCTATAATGACCAACAAAGGAAAACTTTGTTACTTATGATTCTAGAACATACAGAAAAGATTCATAGAACTGAAGTACATCTTGAGTTAGAAAAACCATATATTTATAATTTCATTATTTTTCTAGAAGAAATGCATTTTTTTTTTTTTTTTTTTTTTTGCAAAAATGTTGGACTTAGAACTCCCACTGGCATGAAGCCTTATGGTAGTTATATATTTTTAGTGTCCACGTTAGATAAATTAAAAATTGGTGTTGACTATACTTTATTGTCAAGCATAATGTATTATTGCATCAAAACTGTCAAAATTTTTTTTTTGCATTATCGTGTGTTCATCTGACAGTTTTGCTGCCTTATTGACTTCCCACTGGTAGCCTATTAGTTAAAAAAAAAAGATGCCATACTTACGACACCATCTTGGAATTATAGCTGAAAAAATTGATAAGAAAAAATATAGTAGATAAGTACATTAATGATATACTGTATATACACACACTGGACAATAGGAGTGTCACCCCTACTGAACCAATACTTTGGGGGAGATAAATGACTGTGGAATGATATGCTCCTGGTATCATTTTATTAACATCAAATTTCACAAAAAGACCAACAGTACAATTCCATGGTACAGCGGGTTTATACTTATTAGTCGCATTATAAGTAGATCAGGCATTATAAACTTTGATTACTCTGTTTCAGGGAGTGAAGGGGGTGACACTTCTCTTGTCCAGTGTGTGTACAAGTAATCAGTATATTGTACAACTTCTGCCACCACTTCTGCCGATAAATTTATGATAAGATATTAATTCTTAATGTCAAAACACACACCAGTTTCCCAACATACCAACAATTTTTTGTTCACTGCGTTTTTTAATTATCCTATAACGTGAATCATAAGGTAATATTCATAACCACAATTATTTTCAATTTTAAAAACATATCTTACATGCAATTAGTTTGTAGTGCTTTTTTACACACTGGTATGTAGGTTACAGAAGATGCACTGTGCCTGAGATTATATAAAAGACTCCTTGGCGATCTATCATCTAAGACCTTAACTAATTTAAAAATCAGTAAAACGAGGCAGCATGTAGTGTTATACATTTTAAGAAAAAACAAATACATAAACACATAAACAAGTTTGTCTACACTGAGGAAAAATTTGTTTTAAATAATTTTGTGTTAAATGTGATATCATACTAACTGCATTGTATGTTAGCATCAGCTGAAAACGCAAAAAGATGTATATTGCAAAAGTACACGAAAATATTCACACAATCACGTGCATATTCTGCCAAAGATGTTTATATATTTTATATGTTGGTATAGTTATGAATAAATGAACTGTGTTCTTTTGACAGTAAAATATAGAACTCTATAGACTATTTCTATACAGCAAAAAAAAATTCCCGCTCCACTGCTTTTCTGTCGAACCCATTAGATGAACAATGATAAAAACCAACTAGTTTTACCAATTATTTTCTATTTCTGGCTATAGAAAGATAGCAGTTGAGAGGGCATGTTTGCAAATCAAATGTAATGTTTGATGTAATACTTACGACATGTCGGTATATCTAGGGGAAAAAAGACAGGCAATATTAAACACAATGGAGTATCACTTGAATATATAATCATTCAAACAATTATCATTTAAACAATGACATTTTCGTCATTTCAGATCCGGCGACAAATGTATGTTATCCTTTAAAATAGAGTTTAGGTGATTCCATCAATGACAAAATAGTGGAATTTAATGCTGAATTACCAAAAGAACTCAACGTTAACACAGATGCTCATAGATAACTATGTGAGGGAGTGAAGCGGTTAATTACGATTGGGTTTATTTACTCCCTCGATTATGTAGAAGTCGACAAAACAAAAAGGAGTCCATAAGGTTTCCTTCAAATGGTAACACAATTTGAAAAGAAAAGTATAAAGACTAAGTTTCCTTCTAACTTTAGAACTAATATCTCAACCTAAAACCCCCTCCCCCTTTCGTAATGGTACTAATACACAATGCAGTACTGCACCAATGCAATGAAGCCTATCACTGCCAGTTCTCACCTAGAATGCAATTTTGTGGATCTGGATCAGAAGGGTTGAACACGTATCCTTCTTCACACACACAGACCCGAGGTTCTGGACAAGGTAAACTTTGACCTTCTTTATTGATAGTATTCTGGCAGTTCGACAATATTTTATCCACTACCGCACAACATCTGGTATTACTACCACACACAACTGGTGGCCTCACTACAATTTATGAAACAGGAGACAAAACTTATCAACACAGGGTAATTAATTTATATAGATTTCAATTCAGAACATGATGCCAGGATTATTGTGCTTCTGTGCGCATCCTTCTACAGTGTGTAACATGAAAGACAGTGCGCCATATAAAACATTGCCAAATTCCAGTCAATGTGACAAGTGACTATGGGTATACGATACACGTTTTTCAACCATTGTAACTTAAAATGCTGCATAAGATGTTAATTTTAATAATGAAGTAATATGCACAATATACACATGTTTACAAGTTTAAGTATGGTAGTATCGAAATCACAAACACAAAGCATAAAGAGTGCCTTACTCTTCTTTGAAGAGGTAAAAAAGCAGAACTTAAACCAGCAAAGACAGTCAGCCAAAAAAAAAAAAAAAAATGGCCCAATTCCATCCAATGTGACGTATGACGACGCGGGTATACGATTCCCACTTTTAAGTTATAAGTCACGTGTAAACAAAACAATGATTAAAAATATTATTTCTACATATACTGTTATGAGATCTAAAGTTTAACGATGAAGTCATCTGCACATTATATACATCTTTAATTACAAATTTAAATATGGTAGTAGCGAAATCACAAACACAAATCATATAGAGTGCCTTACTCTTCCTTGAAAATGTAAAAAAGCAGAAATTTTACCAACAATGAGAGAACTCACCTGGAACGCAATTTTGTGGATCTGGGTCAGAAGAGTTGAACATGTATCCCTCTTCACACACACAGACCAGAGGTTCTGGACAAGGTAAACTTTGACCTTCTTCATTGGTAGTATTCTGACAGTTTGACACTGTACTGTTATCCACTATCTCACAGCATCTGGTATTATTACCACACACAACTGGGGGCCTCACTAAAATTTATGAGCAGAAGACAAAACTTATCAACACAGGGAAATGAATTTATATAGATTTCATTTTCAACATTATGTCATGATCATTGCATTTCTGTGTGTGTGTCCTTCTAAGACGAGGTACAGTGTGCCATGTAAAACATTGTCAAATTCCACCCACTTTGACAAGGATCTACATGTCACCCTTACGTAAACCATGATTAAAATTTTTATTTCGACATTCTGTTATAAAATCTAAAGATTAATAATGAAATCATCTGCACAATATATACATGTTTACAAGTTTAAATAGGGTAGTATCGAACCAACAAACACAAATCATTGAGAGTGCCTTACTCTTCCTTGAAACACACACACACACACACACACACACACA